TGCAATATATGAAGTAAATTAACTTGTATTATCCCAATTATTTATTTTTTATTCAGAATGAATCTACCTTTTTTTTATGTTAAATTATTATAATTGTAAGAAATTTTTTTATTTTGACGCTATAATATATTAAACAAACAACAAACTTCAATTATAAGCTTGTCAAATTTAGACTAAAATAAAAGTTTTAGTACGATTTAATATTTATTCATATGTATAATTTTGCACTTAACATAACATGAATCTATTCTAGACTTGATCTATAACACATTAATATGTTCAAAAATATTATGAATTGAATATTAATTAAAAACATTTATGGGATACAATAGTAATCCGTGCCACAAATCATATTAAAAAATACCACGCAACTAACGTACGGTTAATCCTATCAGAAATTGCTAAAGTAACATAATTTACATATCATTGACTAATTGGAAACACTTGTCGTATATTTTTTATTTTTAATTTAGTACCCGCTCCGATATTTCTAAAAGTTCTATTTTCATAAGTTTCATCGAAATAGCTGACTAATTCCTTTACTTTTGTTAGCATTATAGAACGTAAATTAAATTCCTTTACGTTATTTTCTGATAAAAAATTCAACACATATAATTTACCACAAAATTGTAAAAAAATTTATTGGAACAATAAAATGATTCAAGGCTACGATATTGTATTTTACGATGGGTACTTTGTGTTACATGATAAAAACAACCTTTGAGAGCTATGTGATTACCAAATACAGTTAAAACTGCTTATTATTAAAAATATTATTAATTTAAAAAACTAAAAAAAATTGAAAATGCAAGACATTTCCAAATCTAAATGAACACTTAGAGGGTCAATAAAAAAATACATAAAGTTGAGTTAAATTTTTTGGAGACAAACAAAAATCCATCTAACATTTTTTAAAGCTGGCTAAATATTCCCATACTCACTGCAAGCCTATGCACTCGAGTTACAAGTATTGAAGTTTTATAAAGCGTAACTGTATTTTATTATTTTTATATAATACTCAAAATCTTCAAAAGTTCTTTTATTATACTACGAATACAATAATATATAATTATATTAACTATAACCCTGGTCAACTCAAATTTCGAGCTAAAACTTTGGTGGTATATTTATTGTTAATGATATATTCTATATTGATAAAGAATGTCTTTATAATAAAAATATACACATATTTTCATTGTTTATTTAATTTTTTTAATCTAGCATTGTAATTAACTTTTTAAAATATAGAATCTACATATTTAATTGATATAATATGGATGACTATGAATAATAATAATAATATAAGGTTTCGAGAAATATACCGTATATTTATATTCAATAAACATATTATACTAAATATTGTCAACAGGGTTTTACCAAATTTTGGATATACCTTTTTAATGTGTAGAATTTAATAATCGCTGCCAAGTTTATTCTGTGAGTTAACGTATATGTGTATGTTGATTGGGGACTGGAACGAACCTGAAAAACGGTTCTTTAACTGGAATCATTAAATATTAGAACCTGAACCTGAATAGGAATTATTCAGATAGCTACGAACCAGAACCGAACCGGAACCCTCAATAACAAAGGTTCGTTTAAACGGTTCTTAACCGTCAAGCGCAATTTATCTATATTTTAAGGGCGTTATATATTTTTGATAACAATTCAAGAGTTCCAAGAAATTTGTGTTGTCCACAAAATATTATACTTCTATTTTTTAAATGAAATAATCATACTTAAAACATAATTATTGGCTGTTTGTTCACTATAGGACTGTAAATTATTATTTATGACTGCGATAGTCATAAATAGAAGTTTTAATAATATTATTAAAACAAGCATATTATGCTTGCGTTTCTTGTGGTTTTTTCGGCGAACTGATGCTTGCGTCTTCCTCTAACACATCAACTGATAAAACGTTTAACAGCCTATCCAGATTTATGGCTTAAAAAAAAAATTTAACTCCAATAAGAATTGGAGATTATGATAATTTTGTTATCTTTTTACGTCTTCACGCGCTGGTAAATTCTATAATTATTTCTAATTATACATGTATATCCATTAATGAACGCGTGCCATTTTGAAAAATAATTTTATTGGTAATTTAATACTTTTAGTGAAACCATGCTACTAATTTAAAAAAATACATTGAAGAAACGTATGAAGAATGAGGAGTTTATTAAAAAATGTAATGAGTTGAAACTTAAAAGTTCGTGTTCTAATAACCAAAAGTAAATTGATGTTATGTTCAAGTTCAATGAAATAAAAATAACTAAGACAAAAAAATATTTAATTGATAATTGTGTGGAATTTGTTATTGTTAATGGACGCCCTTATAATATCTTAAATGACAGTGGATTTAAAAAAATAATAGATACTATTTTAACTTCCTAGTTAAATATATTCTTGATAACTTATAAAATTATACATTAATTAGGAGGCGTGTTGAAAACAATTTTATTCAAAGGACTATAATGAATGAAATTAAAATAAAATGGTGTCATTAAAAATCGATGTTGCTACCAAGTGTAATAAGAGTTTTTTAGATATTAATTTACAATACATAAAAAATCAAAAATTCAATGTTTAAGGACTATTGGTTTGGTGAAATTAAGATTATTATTATTTTATAAAATAAATGTTATGGATAATTTATTCAAAATTAATTTTGAAATTTATGTTTATACCTCTTATTCTTTATAACGATTAGTCAAATGAAAAATTTATCAATATTAGATTTTAACTTGTTTTGCAATTTGACTTTTAAATATTTTTGTTGCATGTGTCTGGGACTTTGTGACAGACAAATTTACACATTATAACTTTCATTTACACATGAGTTAAAAATGGATGCGAATGAATGTCTCCTTAGCCATAAATTGATGGTGGAGACGACAAAAAAAAGTTAATATGTACAATAAGTATGTTGTTTTATTAATGTAAAAATTAGAATAAATACTTTTATTCATAATACAAAAAGTCCTTATGCATCAAATTTGGTAAAAATTAAAATATTTTATTGTAATATATTTATACAATATTATAACTCTTTAACTATGATATTTTAAAGAAATTCTTGTGCCATAGCAAAAGGTGACCCACCTATTAGTTTTATAATAATCACCTTACA